CCAAATCCTTACGATTGTTAATTTTTATGCCCCAAACCAAGCCCCTATAAAGTTCATCCGGAAAATATTTAATAGAGTTGATAGAATAAAACCAGGGAAGATAATCTACTTAGGAGATTTCAACTGTATTCCAAACCCGGATCTTGATAGAAAGAGCTTAATTAGAGACCAATGTAATAGATATTTAAAAAACTCAGCTAGGACGTTTAGCGAAATTTTAAAAAAAGAGAGGTCTTTTAGACCTTCGGCATATTCTTCATCCTATGGAACATGATTTTACGTGTTTCTCATACGCACATCAGGTACATTCTAGAATCGACTTAATAATTTCAGACCCAGAGATCTAAAAATTTCAAATTAAAATCTTTATTCAGAATATGTCATGGACAGATCATAACACAGTAATAATGGTTATCAAGGATGATATGAATAGCAGTAGGTCTAATTGCAGATTGAACGAACGTCTTTTAAATAACACTCTATATTTAAATCAAATTAAAACAATGACAGATTTTTTTTAAAAAGAAAACTAAGGACGATGTGCTTTTACCACTCGTATGGTGTGCCTATAAGTGCACAATACAGGGACAGTTAATTCGGGTTCGGGGTCAAGTTCGGGTCAAGTCATCCTGGCGAACCCAAACATCCAGGTGTCCGCTCAATTCTACTTACACCCTTAATGTTAGTAAATTAGAAATAACACACGGGACGGCTTTTAAAATTGTTATAAACAACAAACATGGCAATGTGCAATATCAATCAGCAGTTGCTAAGGCCAGTAAGATATTTTCATGTATAAATAGAGGCATTAATTCTCGGGATGAAAATATAATTCTGCCTCTTCCTAAATCACTGGTAAGATGGCACCTTGAATATGCTTTGCAATTTTGGGCACCTGTTCTAAAGAAGAAAATTATGGCAGTAGAAAAAGTGCTGAGGCAAGCTACAAAATTAATAAAAGGAATGGAGCCTTTTAGGTAAGGTTAACACATTTAAATTGCTTTAGTTTAGAAAAACAGAGGCAATATGATTGCATTATACAAATACATTCAGGGCCAATAAAAACCATTGTCTGAAAATCTTTCAATAAACAGGACTATACATAGGACACACAGTCACACATTTAGACTGGAAAAAACATGATTTAGTCTAAGGCAAAGGAAAACAATAAGGATGTAGAATTTTGTCAGAAGAGGTGGTTTATCAGAATTCATACAGATGTTTAACCAGCAGCTAGATAAATATTTGCAAAAACATAATTTATAATAAGTGGGGTAATTGCTTCTTGATCCAAGTAAATATCTGACTACGACTAGTTAAAACCTTTACCTGTCAACATATCTTTTTACTAACATTATATTATAGGACAAAATGATTTGAAAGTTTAATAAAATATGCAAAGTGAGCCAAAGTGCATTAAATTACATTTCTATTAAGGCACTTTACATGTGTACATGTCCATAATAAAAAAAAAAAATGACAAGAGGTAAAATGAAAGAGTTGCAAAGGGGGCACCACAAATATATGGAATATATTTTATTTAAAAGGTATGTTTAACAAGTAAAATATTCTTCATACTTTTTTTTTCTCAAACTTTATTGAAGGTAAGTTAATCATACATTGCATGGCCTATATTACCCAACAGTCCTGACAGACTGATTTATTTAATGCCAAACCTTTGCACAGGTTGTTCTTAAATGTTTAATTACACACTGCATTGATTTTCTTATTACGGTTAAGAGAATTCTTCAAGAACAATATGTGAATTGAAAAAACAATAATTTCAAAATAAAACATTTTTTCTTTTGTAAACAGAATAAAAAAGTTGCAGTTGTGAAATTGTATGGGTGTTGAAAGGCACCAGAAGATAGTTACGTAGGTGTTTACTCACCAAACAACTAATTTGCTGTCAAAATTTTACTGTTAAAATTCAAGTAAATTGGATGCAAAATATTGAATGAAATATATAAATACCTTTACTAACAGCCAAATTGAAAATTAAAAATGATAAGTTGCATAGAAAAAAAATTATCAGACAGCAAGTAATGACAAGTAATTGCAATCAAATGGTTTTCAAGCATTTCCCTAATTTTTACACAATGCTGTTTCAAGGTCCACTGGGTGCATGAGCTGGATCGCCAAATAACCTTGAGGATCCTGGGATGTGATTTATTCTCTTCAATCACATCATAATATAATCTGTTCTGTTCTTTCTTACATCAGCATTTGCAAATTTTTACACCATTTTATACCATTAAAGTAATTGTGTTTCCATACACAGAATAAGAAAACATTTGGTCTCAATTATTTTCTCCAAAAGACAGTGTTTTAAGAGGATCTTCTGCTTTTATCACATTATTGTAATGCCTTTGATATCAACACACCAGGAAACCTGTGTCTAACCTGGAAAAAACACTTGATCAAAATACATTACCATTCCTTCTCTGCCACTCTCCAAGTTTAGTAGCTGTAAAAAGCAGATGTTCTATGCTCTGGATTCTGTTTTATGAAATACGTTAGAACCCAAGTTAACTTTTCAGCAATATAGTTACCTCTGCAGCATCTGAATTAGCTATTATTTGTGATGGGGTATATGCAAATGTAAGTCCCAAGGGACATGTGTCATATCCCAGTGTATATTGACCTCTGTTATTCAAGGTTCATAGTTCCCAGTGTGGCGTTCTAGTAGAGCAGAGGGTTCCCAACCAACTACTACCTACGAGTGCAGGATTTAGTATTACCCTGTTGTGTCTAAAGTGTTTTTTTCTTTACAGGGAGTGCAGAATTATTAGGCAAATTAGTATTTTGACCACATCATCCTCTTTATGCATGTTGTCTTACTCCAAGCTGTATAGGCTCGAAAGCCTACTACCAATTAAGCATATTAGGTGATGTGCATCTCTGTAATGAGAAGGGGTGTGGTCTAATGACATCAACACCCTATATCAGGTGTGCATAATTATTAGGCAACTTCCTTTCCTTTGGCAAAATGGGTCAAAAGAAGGACTTGACAGGCTCAGAAAAGTCAAAAATAGTGAGATATCTTGCAGAGGGATGCAGCACTCTTAAAATTGCAAAGCTTCTGAAGCGTGATCATCGAACAATCAAGCGTTTCATTCAAAATAGTCAACAGGGTCGCAAGAAGCGTGTGGAAAAACCAAGGCGCAAAATAACTGCCCATGAACTGAGAAAAGTCAAGCGTGCAGCTGCCACGATGCCACTTGCCACCAGTTTGGCCATATTTCAGAGCTGCAACATCACTGGAGTGCCCAAAAGCACAAGGTGTGCAATACTCAGAGACATGGCCAAGGTAAGAAAGGCTGAAAGACGACCACCACTGAACAAGACACACAAGCTGAAACGTCAAGACTGGGCCAAGAAATATCTCAAGACTGATTTTTCTAAGGTTTTATGGACTGATGAAATGAGAGTGAGTCTTGATGGGCCAGATGGATGGGCCCGTGGCTGGATTGGTAAAGGGCAGAGAGCTCCAGTCCGACTCAGACGCCAGCAAGGTGGAGGTGGAGTACTGGTTTGGGCTGGTATCATCAAGATGAGCTTGTGGGGCCTTTTCGGGTTGAGGATGGAGTCAAGCTCAACTCCCAGTCCTACTGCCAGTTCCTGGAGACACCTTCTTCAAGCAGTGGTACAGGAAGAAGTCTGCATCCTTCAAGAAAAACATGATTTTCATGCAGGACAATGCTCCATCACACGCGTCCAAGTACTCCACAGCGTGGCTGGCAAGAAAGGGTATAAAAGAAGAAAATCTAATGACTTGGCCTCCTTGTTCACCTGATCTGAACCCCATTGAGAACCTGTGGTCCATCATCAAATGTGAGATTTACAAGGAGGAAAACAGTACACCTCTCTGAACAGTGTCTGGGAGGCTGTGGTTGCTGCTGCACGCAATGTTGATGGTGAACAGATCAAAACACTGACAGAATCCATGGATGGCAGGCTTTTGAGTGTCCTTGCAAAGAAAGGTGGCTATATTGGTCACTGATTTGTTTTTGTTTTGTTTTTGAATGTCAGAAATGTATATTTGTGAATGTTGAGATGTTATATTGGTTTCACTGGTAATAATAAATAATTGAAATGGGTATATATTTGTTTTTTGTTAAGTTGCCTAATAATTATGCACAGTAATAGTCACCTGCACACACAGATATCCCCCTAACATAGCTAAAACTAAAAACAAACTAAAAACTACTTCCAAAATATTCAGCTTTGATATTAATGAGTTTTTTGGGTTCATTGAGAACATGGTTGTTGTTCAATAATAAAATTAATCCTCAAAAATACAACTTGCCTAATAATTCTGCACTCCCTGTATATATATTTGTTTTTTTAATTGGGGTAGCCCCCAAAAGATTGGGACATACAAAAAAAAGAAACATTTGCAGCCTGCGGTGCATTTCTTGCAGTCCTGATGCATGGAGAAATGCTCAACTCCTGATGCATGGAGAAAAGGCCTTCACAAGCCTCTGCTATTGTGTACATAGTTTATACTAAGTGACTGACCCATAGGTTGAGGAGGCGGTGACGGTGGAAACGGCGGTGGAGGAGGAGGAGGAGGAGGAGGAAGCCAACACTGTTTATATATATATTTTTTTTATTTTAATTGGGGTAGCTCCCAAATTATTGGGACATACAAAAAAAGAAAACTGTTCGTCAGAGCGACTGACCCATGCGTGCTGCATCTGAAACTGCATTATAGCCTGCTGCTGCTCGTGCAGTCTCATGAGGCGGTGAGCGGGAAGGCCGAAGTTACACTGCAGCGCAGACAGGCGAGCAGCAGCAGGGTGAGAACACTAAAAGCGCGCACAGACGGCCCGCACTTTCTGCAGCAGCTCTGATATATCTGGGTATACACCGTGGCATCATAAGGGCCACCCGGAACTGGCTCAACTCCCATCAAGCCAAGTTCCCAGAGGATCACCCAGCTCGTCATGCTAAATCACTTTTTCAATGTGCTCCCCAACGAGAAGGCGATGACGCATTCATATGTCAATCCATATCAACTTTCGATGCCTACCATGGTGACCACGGGTAATGGGGAATTACGTACAGGGACCCTGACAAATGGCTACCGCATGCAAGGAAGGCAGCAGGCGCGCAAATGACCCACTCCCGATGCAGGAAGGTAGTGATGACAAATAACAAAACAGGACTCTTTAGAGGCCCTGTAATTGTAATGTGTCCACTTGAAATCCTTGAACTCTCATCAATTGGAGGGAGGTCTGGTGCAGAGCCACTGACCCATGCATGCTGCAGCTGAAACTCCATTATTGCCTGCTGCTGCTCAAACAGTCTCTCCAGCATGTGCAAGGTGGAGTTCCACCTTGTGGGCACGTCGCATATGAGGCAGTGAGCGGGAAGCCCAAAGTTACTCTGCAGCGCAGACAGGCGATCAGCTGCAGGGTGAGAACGCTGCAGTGATTGTCACATCCTGTTCCACGTTGCGGATCAGTCTGGTGATGGCTTCTGGTATCCAGTACTCTTTTTACTGAAGCTGCATCAGGGTCCTGGTATGTGGCCGCACAAATGCTGGTGCTCAACACCAGACCCTGCTAATCCATTCCACACTGTGACTCCTAACTTCTACGTCAGGCATACTGGGTCCGGGTCGTCCGACCGCCGCCCAGACAGTGTCTGGGTCCCGGTCACCGGACTGCAAAACTGCAAATGGCTCATTAAATCTGTTATGGTTCTTTTTATTGCTTCAACTGTTACTTGGATAACTGTGGGAATTCTAAAGATAGTACATGCCGATGAGCGCTAGGGGATGGCTGCTCCGCTTTTGCACCCTGCTCCCTCTTATGCTGTGCTGGTGCCTCTGTGCGACCAGCGCTTCTTCCTCCAAACTGCACACGTCACTCGCATGACCTTGATTCCATGTGGGGTCTAGGACCTAATCATCCTCCACATCACCTTCCACCCACTCCTCAACCCTGCCCTCCTTGCCGGTATGCACACTGCAGAAAGCCACAGCAGTTGGCACCTGTGTTTTTCCAGCATGTAAAGTCTGCAAAGGACATATGGAAATTGTTTTAGAATTGTATCCAGGCAACAGTTTTCCCTATAAACTGACTTCTGAGTTTGACTTTTGAGGGTATTGCCCCAGAATTACAGTATTGTTTAAGTACCTCTTAGCTATTGATAACTAGTTTAAATATAGCAGCTTGTTATCTGGTAGTTTCTAGTGCAGAAAATATCACTGTTTTCTATCACTTAGATCTGTGTAACAATTGTTGTAGGTGTGAAACAATATTACAAGTGACCAATGTAGTAAATTCGAATCAAAGTTACGCTTCGATTTGACTCTCAGATATGAAGAGCAGGCCACAAAATATACTATTTAGCACATTAGCACCCAGAAAATTCGAATTTTTACAACTGCGCTGTAAGCACACTATTAGAGGCTTCAATTTGACTCTCCGATATGAAGAGCAGGCCCCAAAATGTACTATTTAGCAGATTAGCAAACAGAAAATAAGAATGTTTACCACTCAGCTGAAAGCGCACTATTAGACGCTTCTATTTGACTTTCAGATATGAAGAGCAGGCCTCAAAATGTACTATTTAGCAGATTAGGAGCAAAACAATTAGATTGTTTACAAGTGCACTGTAAGCACACTATCAGACACTTCGATTTGACTCTCAGATATGAAATGCACCCCACTAATGTACTTTTTAGCACCCAAAAAATTTAAAGTTTTAAAAATGCAATGTGACAGCAGTATTTGATGCTTCTATTTGACTCTCAGATATGAAGTGCACCCCACTAATGTACTAGTTTGCAGAATTCTTTCCTAAGCTGTCCCTCACAGCAGCAGTATCCTCTCCCTACACTAATAAAACCTCATGTGCGTGCGGCGCTAAACGACTCCAGCTTATATATAGAGGCTGGGTCACATGCTGCACTGGCCAATCACAGCCATGCCATTAGTAGGCATGACTGTGATGGCTTCTAAGGGCACACGAGTCAACCACTTGTTGATTGGCTGCCCTGCAGCCTTTGAAAATGCACCATTAAATCGCTGAACACCGAACTCCAACCCGAACAAACAGTGATATGTCCGTGTTCGGGTCTAGGATCCAAAAAATAATGTTTGGTACGAACCCGAACTTTACAGTCCAGGTTCGCTCAACTCTAGTGATGATGTTTTTATACAGGGAGTGCAGAATTATTAGGCAAGTTGTATTTTTGAGGATTACTTTTATTATTGAACAACAACCATGTTCTCAATGAACCCAAAAAACCTAAAAATTATTTATTATTACCAGTGAAACCAATATAACATCTCAACATTCACAAATATATATTTCTGACATTCAAAAACAAAACAAAAACAAATCAGTGACCAATATAGCCACCTTTCTTTGCAAGGACACTCAAAAGCCTGCCATCCATGGATTCTGTCAGTGTTTTGATCTGTTCACCATCAACATTGCGTGCAGCAGCAACCACAGCCTCCCAGACACTGTTCAGAGAGGTGTACTGTTTTCCCTCCTTGTAAATCTCACATTTGATGATGGACCACAGGCTCTCAATGGGGTTCAGATCAGGTGAACAAGGAGGCCATGTCATTAGATTTTCTTCTTTATACCCTTTCTTGCCAGCCACGCTGTGGAGTACTTGGACGCGTGTGATGGAGCATTGTCCTGCATGAAAATCATGTTTTTCTTGAAGGATGCAGACTTCTTCCTGTACCACTGCTTGAAGAAGGTGTCTTCCAGGAACTGGCAGTAGGACTGGGAGTTGAGCTTGACTCCATCCTCAACCCGAAAAGGCCCCACAAGCTCATCTTTGATGATACCAGCCCAAACCAGTACTCCACCTCCACCTTGCTGGCGTCTGAGTCGGACTGGAGCTCTCTGCCCTTTACCAATCCAGCCACGGGCCCATCCATCTGGCCCATCAAGACTCACTCTCATTTCATCAGTCCATAAAACCTTAGAAAAATCAGTCTTGAGATATTTCTTGGCCCAGTCTTGACGTTTCAGCTTGTGTGTCTTGTTCAGTGGTGGTCGTCTTTCAGCCTTTCTTACCTTGGCCATGTCTCTGAGTATTGCACACCTTGTGCTTTTGGGCACTCCAGTGATGTTGCAGCTCTGAAATATGGCCAAACTGGTGGCAAGTGGCATCGTGGCAGCTGCACGCTTGACTTTTCTCAGTTCATGGGCAGTTATTTTGCGCCTTGGTTTTTCCACACGCTTCTTGCGACCCTGTTGACTATTTTGAATGAAACGCTTGATTGTTCGATGATCACGCTTCAGAAGCTTTGCAATTTTAAGAGTGCTGCATCCCTCTGCAAGATATCTCACTATTTTTGACTTTTCTGAGCCTGTCAAGTCCTTCTTTTGACCCATTTTGCCAAAGGAAAGGAAGTTGCCTAATAATTATGCACACCTGATATAGGGTGTTGATGTCATTAGACCACACCCCTTCTCATTACAGAGATGCACATCACCTAATATGCTTAATTGGTAGTAGGCTTTCGAGCCTATACAGCTTGGAGTAAGACAACATGCATAAAGAGGATGATGTGGTCAAAATACTCATTTGCCTAATAATTCTGCACTCCCTGTATGTATTATATATATATACATATATATACATACATACATACATATATATATATATATATATATATAAAAATCAGGCTACCTCCTCCTCCTCCACCGCTGCTTCCACCTACCGGTCACCGCCTCCTCAACCTATGAGTCACTTAGTTTAAACTATGTACACAATAGAAGAGGCTTGTGAAGGCCTTTTCTCCATGCCACAGAAGTTGAGCTGTTTGAACAATGAAAGAGAATACCCTGCACTCCAACCCTCTCTCAAATGGATAATTCTGGTGATCCTCCTGACAGCCATGCTTTAGATTTTGATTTATGTTCTTCCAAATCAAAGATTCCATCTAGTGCTATTTTATGGCTCAGCTGTATTTTTAATTTTTATGTTATTTTAAGTGATTTAATTATCCACATTTGTTTGCAGGGCAATTGTCCTACTCTTACCCCCATTTTACTTCCTTTTGAAGCCCTCTAGCCCTTTAGAGGCATTTTTGTGGCCAAAGGTTTGGGTCCCCAATGACATATAATTAACATATATACATATATAACTCCACCCATAGTGTTATACAGTGACCCAACGTCCTTGCCAATAAACATACAGAGGTTCCTAATCACCACTTCCTCTCACCTCCCCCCTCATCATAAAAATCATATCTTTCCAATGCCCGCCATCAGCCGACCTTATCCACGCTCGATGGGCACGACACCTCAGGCAACCTAATGTTAACCTTTTGAAGCAGGGGAGGTTGAAACCTTAAAAAACTTGTTCATCTCATTCCATATACTTAAACGTAACCACTCAAAATCAATTGGCAAGGACATACCCCCGGCTAGCTGTGACGAAATATACCAATAGGGTGGGCGGGAGGGAAGCTGTTTGCTGGCCCGAATCCCAAGTGGCACTGAGGTAAGACCTCCCCCACACTAACTTACACAGAACATAATCCCACCCACACACTCTTTCAAACCAATCCCATGCATCAATCCCCACACTCCTACATGTGCCCTTGTCCGCTTAGCTGCGCTATCTCCCCAGGGCCTAAATAGGCAGAATAGAAAATGCACTCCTGCCAAAATCTACAATCTTGTCTATGCCAAATGCACCACTTTAGCAACTGCTTCTGATTCTTAGGGCATTGTTTGTTGATAGTTTGGTAAAGCTAAATGTGTTGCTCTGCTCCATCCAGACACTAATAATAATAATACAATTTTCATTCATGTGTATTCTATGAATCAATTCCACCATTAAGCCACACCTTTTTTTTTTTTTTTTAAATTCTTTATTTTCTGTGCATTGAACAAAGAATAACATACTTGAGCTGCCTTTCCAACATAGGCAGATTAGTAAATAATAATTGTTTTGCTAAAGGTCTAGATCAGTCTATACGTTTCACACTTATAACATATCAGGAGCATAGAATTGGCAGCAAGTATATAGTATGAGTCATTTTGTTCTACGGTCTGAGAAATTTAGCTTGCGTCCTAGTAGTCAGGAAGAACTTGTGGTCATGTTTCTGCACTTTTTCTGGTTTTCTAGTGTGTCGAGTGTGCCCATGCGGTAGGTTCCCATAGG